TATATATATATATATATATATATAAACAAGAGTTGTTTGTGAACAATGAGCCGTTTTGACAGCCCTATACATAGAAATTGGATGACATATTTGTAAACCCCCTTTTTTTCTCTTTTTACTGTAAAAAAGGTTAAGCGTAAAGTTATTGTCTTGAGATTAATAATTGATTAGATAAATGCGAGGCATATTTAAAAGTAAATTTACTTGTAATAGAATTTAATTTAATTTATATTAAAATATATTGATTGAAGTTGTTCTTATAGTTATAAAAATTGTACATGCAATTGTTTATCCATAATTTTAGTGATAATTTCATCAAAAACTAATGATTAAAATGTGTCTTGTATTTGGGTCTCTTAGCTGGAGAGATGACATTCGGCCTCCTCCATATTTTAAATAATAATAATAAATAAATTATCATTATTTAGAGTGGAAAATGGTGAACCTTTTTATCAGGATAGATTTTGTAACATCCAAATTATGTAATTGCTGAATTCTTGCTGTTAGCGAGTGTGTATAATCCGATAAAAAATCTTGTGTCGTAGAGAGAATGAGAGAGCGAAAGAGATGAATGAGAGTTTTTTTAGGGAATATTAGAAAATATATTAAATTATGATCCTCGATAAGTCGAGCGAGACAGCTTCTCTAAGTCACATAATTTCAAAAAAGGAAAAGATGAAAATGGAGTTGGAAAACAATCATCAGAGAGGAAAGAGGACTAAGAGAGGATCCCCTCTCTATCATTTCCCTCTACTTTATATATAAGAGAGCAAAACAATAAAATAATTGAAGTAGTACTATATGTCTTCTTTCTCAAGTGTTATGATGGAAAGACTGATTTAGATGTCAAATATTGCCAGTACTGTGGTTATTATTGTTGCTTGAGTGAAAAGATTGAGCAGCGAGTGTCATACGACATTTTTAATAAGGGATTGGCGTATGTTCTTGTTGGTCACTGTGACTTTTCATTAGTCACGACGACTTCCTTCGATAATTGTCCTAGCATAGGTGGACTAGGATGCCCTCTCAAGAAAGATGAGAGCGGCCGAATCAAAAGATAAACTCGTTTCAATATATGAGCTTGATTCAACAACTTCAACAGAAGAGCTTGATTCAACACGAAAAATGTAGTAAAAACTCATGCATACTCATATTTATATATAATGTAACATCAATATTTATAAAGTAGTAAATTACACTGAATTGATTTTGTTCCAAATAATACAAAAAATAAAATAAATTAAAATTTGGTTAAGGAGAAAAGAAGAACATATTGTAAGATTGAAATTTTATCTTACCAAAATATACTAATCATTTATTAATCCAATAAAACTTTTCAACATCGTATTCAGCCCCGAAGTCAACCGACAACAGTTCCCGGGAATTTTTCCGGCGATGTCGTTGGACTCCGACTCATCGCCGCCGGCCCTCAACCGCGACTGGTTTTTGCCCCCCGGCTCGTCTGGAACCATTAACCGTGGCCTAAACCCCAGGAGAAAGCCATCAGCGTTCCCGGTCACCCAAAGAGCACGAAAACCTTATCTCCGGGAAGCTAGGCCGCAGCAGAGGCTTCCAATCGCCGGAACCTGGGCATCCTTTGGATCTTCGCCTTCCATATCGGCTGCGGCGGGGCGGAGCCACAGGCGGCGATCCCCCGGGTGGATCCCAGATACGCGGGGCTTCGCAGGAAGGTGCGTTTCGATACCAAGGAAGAAAAGGGTGAAAGGCAAGTAGCCGAGGCTGCATCGTCAGCGAGTAATGAGCTGGTCGCCGGGGCGGCTTTGGGAGTAAGAAGAAAAGGGTTTTGGGGTCGGTTCCCGGATCGTCGGATGAGAGTCCGACTGTGTCTTGCTATCTCCGCTATGGTTAGTTCTTATTTTGTGTATGATTTGACAGAAAATCTGTTACAAATCAGTTTTTCATGAAACTTGGTCGTTTTATAGGAATGTGAGAGATTGAAAACGGTTAAATCCTACTTTCATTAGGCTTTCCATTGTTCCTCCATTCGAAGCTTCATGTTGTGTTTTAGGAGGCTCTATTAGATAGGATGCCTTGTTCATTACTACTATATCTTATGGCCTTAGATTATGCTTATAAATGTTTTGATTTTTAGCGTGAGCACACCAAACTCTGAACCATAAACCTGTTATTTTATAGGAAGATTTACATACATACCACTCAATTCTTGTGTATTTGCATATGCATATCTCATACCTAAACTTCACATGGATACCAATTTAACTATGTAAGAGGAAGTGCATTTCACTTTTTAAAAGTTAAAATGGTGATATATGAAAGATATGGGTGTATAAATATAAAATCAAAGTTTAGGTGTTATATCTGTAAATGCATAAGAGTTGGGTGGTATGTATGTAATTGCCTTTCATCTCCCCAGCCCAAAACAATTGTGTGAATAGACATTTGAACCTCATTGAATTTTACGGCTGTTTGCAGAGGCTCATCTACAATGCATCGAAACTTTTATCTCTTACTATGGATGATACAAACCTTCTTGGTTATGTACATCCATATTCATCTGGATCAGTTCAATCAAATCATCATGAGAACTTGTATAAGGTTCAACAAGTCATGGATTGTAAATCGGTTTGACGACATTTCAGAACTCATCAAGTTGAGCTTCTCAAAACCTCTTGTCACCATAATTCAAATCTCTACAAGTTGCACAACCTTCTTTTGCTAACTGGGTCTTCAACACTAAACTATTGACCTAGTATGGGTGCTCACAAAGTTGCCCATCAACGGGAGAAATATTTACGTACGGAGAACGCACGCGCCTCTCCGTGCGTAATCCCCTCACAATAACTTCTCAATAACCTCTACGAAGGTTACTTATTGGGGGGTTATTGTGGAGTTATTTCGGTGTTATTTGAAGTCAATACCCTAACATCCGAGAAAATGTGAAAATGCAACCGTGGAATGTGAAAGTGTAACCGCGGAGGGTATTTACTCCAAATAACGCCGAAATAACTACTCAATAATTCCCTAATAACCTTCGCAGAGGTTATTGAGAAGTTATTGTGAGGGGATTAAGCACGGAGAGCTGCGTGCGTTTTCCGCACATAAATTTTTATCCATCAATGGAGGCTATTTGCCCAAAATAACTAATCAACTTGGATGAAGTACTAGCAACACGAGTTCAACTTATGCATTATTTATGTAAATAGATTATAGTGCGAAAATCTATAATGTTGTTCTCGGTCTTATCTTATAGGTATAGGGTCACCACTTGTGAGCATTTCCACATGAAATATCATGAAAGACCATGCAAATTACATAAATTATCTTTAAAATTTTCTTTAGAACATCTCTCAAGATTGCTTCTCTGAAGTTTAGTTTGATCAGCCCTTTTCGGGTTCAATTGTGTTTGGCTCGGCTCATTATAGACCAATTTTCTAGGAGGTTCTTTGAGAGCTAGCATATCTCTTCTTATTTTCTCACCTTTCTTTTTGATTATTTTTTTTTAGTAAAGTCTTGGTATCTTCCCTTGGAACTTCTAGAAAAAAATTAGCTTTACAATAGATTCATTTAGAATGAGCTGTCCTCTATCTCTTGATCTTTCCCCCTGTTCGACATTGATTCATTTGTATTGGTTTCTTTGTGCAAATAGTCTTTGATCCAACAGTTTGTCCTTTACTCTGATTTACAATTTCTGGAATGGGTTTATCCTTACATGATATGGAAGGTAATAGATGCATGCAATTTCCTGATTATATTCTCAGTATCTTATAATAATTATGGTTCATTCCATATAGCTTCATTCCTCTCATCAAGAGACCAAATAATGCTTGCTTGAATTAATGTTTTTTATATAATTTTTAAACTTTAATATGTTTCTGCTTGTCCAAATCTCCTCTCATAATCCTGTTTCCTTTTGTTTCTTCCAGCTTGTTATTTTGGGCTTCACTTCCCTACTTCAGAAGAACTTCGCTCTGAATAAACAGGTTAATATGTTGCAGGTATGGTTCTCAACGGTTTCTATTAATTTTTTGGTTCTCTACTGCGCTTTCTTTTGCAGCATGTCAATTTTTACTTTCATATCGAACAAATATTTGGAAGGCAAAGTCATAATTGTCAATTTTGATATAAAATGATACTGAATATTTCCTAATTAAGACGGAAAATTTATAATAGTTTTATATTGATTAAATTTCTAAATCTTCAATTTTGATCAACTTAAATTGTCAATTGTGAAAATTTAATGTTGTCCACAATGGTGACTTGCACCTTTATTTCTTTTTCTTAATCCTTGCAGGACCAACTTTCTAGGCAGAAAACAAGATTACAGGAATGTAATCTTTTGGATCCGGAAAATTATATTGAAGCTGTGCCTGCAGAAACTAACCATCTTCTACAAAAAAGTCTAAAACATTCTGCTCTGTTTGCTTCGCTTGCCATAATAAGTTTTCCGCTCATTATTCTTCGACATCTTGATAAAATTTCAAAATTCCGGAAATCATCGGATTCTGAAGAAATTTCTCTTAACAAGCAGCTAGCATATAAGGTTGATGTATTTTTATCAGTCTATCCATTCTCTAAGCCACTGACTTTACTACTTGCAACTCTGCTGCTGCTATGTCTTGGAGGCTTGGCACTCTTTGGGGTAACAGATGGTAGTTTAGCAGACTGTATGTGGTCATCGTGGACTTACGTAGCGGATTCAGGCAACCACGCAAATTCCGTCGGCATTGGTCCTAAGCTTGTGTCTGTTTCAATAACTTTTGGAGGGATGCTTATATTTGCTATGATGCTTGGGTTGGTTTCTGATGCTATCTCAGAAAAGTTTGATTCTTTGAGGAAGGGTAGAAGTGAAGTGATAGAGAAAAATCACACTTTAATCCTTGGTTGGAGTGACAAGTTGGTATGTATCAGATCTGTTTTGATCTATCTCTAAAATTTTTTGAATATTTACATACGTAGCACACAAACCTTATGTATTTAGATATTTCACATGCGTAGCACACAAACATAGCAGTTTGATGCTTTAAACCTATGCATGAAAAGTGCTATCTTTGATGCGATATTAAAGATTTGTGTGCTATGTGTGTAAATATGAAAATTTAGGTTTGAGATACGTAAATGCACAGGAAATGTATGCTATGTATTTAAATGCCCCAAAATATTTACTCCTTTTATGAAACATTGCATATTGACTTGAAGACAATCAGCCATGCATTTGATTTTTGTTTAATTATTAGTCTTAAAACCCAACATAACACAATTGATATGGTTTTTTGATGTTTGATTTGTTTCCATGTTTATTTGTCCGTCTTCGTTATCTTTATGTAGCTGAACCAATGAAGAAACTATGGTAAGAGGTGTCTGTTCTGATTGATGTTGGACATCAGAGTCTTTATTTAATGCACATAATCAAGATTTTATATCAGAGCAACAATTCATAATCATTAAAATCTTTGTTTTTGTCAACTTCTAATTGAGTCGATACTTTTTTCTTATAAAGCCTTGGATTGTTTTGGAATGTGAGGAGTGCCACACGTGGAGTTCCACGTTGGATTGAGGGTTAGAGATTGTTATTGAGAATTACGTTTGGTGGGATCTTATCTCGGAATTTGAATCCCCTTAGGACTAAAAGCAAAATTTTTTTATTTGCATTCGAAGGTAGTTGGATGGTGCTATTTTGTTTAGTTCTCTGCTAAGGATTTCCGTCACATTTTAGATGTCTCTCTTGTTTCCTCACATGTTCTCCTGGATGTAATGAAAATTTGATGTCATCTATAGAGTATGCTGGAAAATTCAGTATATGTGAGATAGTCTCTCAATGAAGCTTTTTTTGCCTTTATTACCATTGAAATTATTTTGGAAATGATAGAGCTTCTCATTTTCTATTTATTGGGCTTCTTCATGTCGAAATCCTTTCAATTTGGAAAAGTTTAACTCCTGTTGAGCATTTTCTTGTTATTTTCTACCTGTATTGTTCGTTGGAGGAGATGAGAATAGTCCTAAAAATGAAGCATTTTGCTCTGCAATGCCTCTGTGAAGCTATAATAATTCATTTGCATTTACCTTATATGATTTCAAAAATTATAGAAGAGATGATATGCAATAAAGCTTGAATCATTTCTTACTGTATTTCTTAAAATAGCCATATGTCTACTTTAACCTGTGTTTTCTGAATTTTCATTCTCCTCCCCCACCCCCAATTTTTTGTTGAGTAATAGGGTTCTTTGCTGAACCAACTGGCAATTGCCAATGAGAATCTGGGTGGTGGCATTGTGGTCGTGATGGCTGAACGTGACAAAGAGGAAATGGAACTCGATATTGCTAAGATGGAATTTGACTTTAGGGGCACATCTGTAATATGCAGAAGTGGAAGCCCTCTTATTCTCGCAGATCTTAAGAAGGTTGCGTAAGTCCTTTTTTCTTTGTGCATTTTTATATTAGCCAATTAAATATTTGCCAAAATTGGAAAAAAGCTTACATCATTTTTTTTTTTAATTTCATTAAAACTGACTGTAGTTTTACAGGTATCAGTCTCTAAAGCTCATGCTATTATAGTCCTGGCTGAAGATGGAAATGCTGACCTGGTAATTGCTAGATAGAGGATAATTTATGGATTGTGAACTGACATCTTCTAATCATCGCCCTTAAACCATTCTATTACAGAGTGATGCGCGGGCGTTAAGGACTGTGTTGAGCTTAACCGGAGTTAAAGAAGGTTTAAAAGGTCACATAGTGGTGGAATTGAGTGATATAGACAACGAGGTCTTAGTAAAACTTGTCGGCGGAGATCTTGTCGAGACAGTTGTTGCTCATGATGTTATTGGTCGTTTGATGATTCAGTGTGCACGCCAGCCGGGCCTTGCTCAGGTCAAATCCATATCAAATTAGCAATAATTTTTCTAGGGAGAAGTGATTATTTTTTGTTTAATTTGCTCTCCATCTTCTCGTTTTTGCAAGTGATTGTAATATATTTGTTTACATGATTTACTATTCTCATAAAAATAAGGCTGTTAAGCTACAGCACATATTTGTTGATTGTTTATATTTTTGTATGAGAAAAGTGCCAAAATGGTCCCTCGACTCTTTTGAGGTGGTCGTTTTAGGTTCAAATTTTATAAAGCACCAGTTTAGTCTCTAGAATTTTTTAATATGGATTGAAATGGTTTGTGGATTCTTTGATAAGAGGATTATTTATTTCAGCCCCCATTAAAAAGGTCTAGGGGCTAATTTGATACTTTTATAGACGTTGGGACTAAAATGAACTCTTGTTAATGGTTAGGGGATCATTTTAGCACTTTATTCATTGTTTTATCCTTCTTAGCTAGTTCAGTTGTAAAAATAAACAGACTATTTAAATGGAAGCTACTATCTCAGCACAAAATTTTAAATTCATACACAGGCAAGCTTGTCGCACTTTGTCCTGACATTGCCAATGAGTAGCTTTTTATATAGCATTGCCTTCCAAAGAGATGGCAAGAGTTCAAAACCCCACAAAAAATTATTTATCTTTATTTTTTGTTTATCTTCAGTAACTTAGATTTATTTTTCCGTTTCATCTATTATTTTGCATCACCAGTGGTTTAATTATCTTGAATTGTACAATTTCTATGTTGAGATGGCCATTATTAGGAGAATTAGTGAGTAGGTCGATTGACACAAAATTTTAATTTCTATTGTCACGTTCTTGTTTTTAAATAGGACGCAATGAGAAAAAGAATTCATGTAGCCGACCCCACGTAGTGGGATTAAGGCTTTGTTGTTGTTGTTGTTGTTGTTGTTGTTGTTGTTATTGTATTGTCACGTTTTTGTTTAATAATGCTTTGAATTTTTGCCCTTCTTAACATCTTGGCATTTGTTTTAGACTACATTATGTTATTTTATAGGAAGATTTACATCCATACCATTCAATTCCTATTTATTTACATATCTAACATCTAAATTTAAATTTTTTACATGCATGCCACCTTACCTATGCATGTAAAGCTGCATTTCACTTTTTAACAATTAAAATGGTGGTATTTTTTATGTGATATACAAGAGGTGGGTGGTATAAATGTAAAATTTAAACTTTAGGTGTTAGATATGTACATACATAGGAATCATACATAGGAATTGGGTGTGGGTGGTATGTATGTAAATGCCCCTATTTCATATGGATTCTGCCAGTAAGGAAAGCACCCTGAAATCTTTTTCAGGCTACATAGATTTATGTTAAAGTAGCCAAAAATATTGAACAGAAGGGATCTAGTTGAATAATGTTTTATTGTTTCGGTTGCGTATATTTTCTTCTGCCTCAAATACGTTGCATTCTTACAGATTTGGGAAGACATACTTGGATTTGAAAACTGCGAGTTTTATATCAAAAAATGGCCTCAGTTGTATGGAATGCAGTTTGAAGAGGTCCTCATCAGCTTTCCTGATGCAGTTCCCTGCGGAATAAAGGTAGCAGCTCTTGGCGGAAAGATCATTTTGAATCCTGATGATCACTATGTTCTACAAGAGGATGATGAAGTTCTAGTTATAGCAGAGGATGACGATACATATGCTCCATCAGCATTGCCCATGGTGATTTTCCTTTTATTGTGACTAATTTAAGGGATTACTTTTTTTCTAATCTTGGTTTATGCGAAATTTAATATTATTTCGTTCAATTGTCAAACTTTTGAGTTTTCTAATGGAGTTATGAGAGATATTAATAGTATGTAGGCTTTTAAAAATCAGGTTGGTATAAAAAAAATCAATTTGTTTTATACCAGAAAGAACTTAGTTTTTTGGATTTTCTTTCAAGTTAATCACTGGAAAAGATAAAGAAGAACTAACAGATCTCTTTTTATAGATCTTGAAAAAGAAAGAGCTAGTTGAGTTTTATAATAGATGATTTTATGAGCATTGAGGAGATGTTGAGCGCCAAAGTTACGTTAAAGTTAGTAAACGATGCAGCTTTAGGATTTGTGGTGAGAATAGCAACCAGGTTGTTGGATGTGGAAAAGTTGCAATCTCAATGTCGTTGGGCTTGGTGTTTTTGGTGAGTTGGTGAGAGAAATTTAAGAGCCAGAGTTTGAGCATGGGAGAGCTAATGTTCATGAGTAGGAGAGAGAAAAGCGGGAGCACAATCGAGAGAGATGAATGGAGAGGAGGATATTGTGCACTTGGGTGGACAAGCAGCAAGTGTAGGAGATTGAAGGTAGATGTTAGGATCGAAGACAAGAGCGAGAATGTTGTGGGATGGGGATAAGAGAGTTTATAGAGGAAGCCACATTAGCTTCTAGAGAGCATCCAAAAGGCGATTAAGCCTGCGGAGAGGTATAAATGAGTACTTGTGAGAGAGAAAGGGAAATGAGGGATTTGTGTGAAGGTCATAAAATATCAAGAGTGTTCATGCCCCTGTAGATCATGCGTGGGCTACTTAGAAGGTGGGACATAGCATAATTGGAGGGATACTATTATCATAGTACAAAGTTTGAAACTTACACTTCATAAATTTAGCACATTATCAATACGCGAAGTTTTGTTTAAAATGGACAAATGAATTTTTATTTCATGATAAAAAATTGAAATTAATTTAAATTTTTTAAATGATAGCTGAGCAGATAGATCCAAATAACACTTTAATAATCATCAATGAAAGTAATAAAACAGTGGAATCTTAATGACAGGACTAGGACCTTGAATGTTCACGTTTACATTGTTGCGATATATTCATGTATTATATATATATATAAGCTCTTTAAGAATACCATGTAATAAGAAAAATCATGGATGCATAAAAGGTGTTGGAAAGCAAAGTAGTCATTGATAATTTGGATGTGCTAGGAATGAAAATGTTTTAGTGGATGTGTGGTGAAAGTGTAGATTCAATTAGGGCTGTCAAAACGGCTCGTTGTTCGCGAACAGCTCCTGTTCGGGTCCCCTAAAAAA